CAAAAGCTGTTGTTGAGTTTATTATTAATTATGATATGTGAAGATTCTAATGGATAGTTCTAGATTTCATATTTTTTCCCTACTTCTAATTGAATCAGAGTAATCTGATGCTATTTCTCCTTTATGTTAAATCTTTGATTGCCATTGATTGCCAGGGAACTACCTGAAATTCTTTAATGCAATAAGAAATGCTTATCCAGATATCCAAATTATCTCAAACTGTGATGGTTCTTCTCCCTCTCGACCTTTAGATCATCCAGCTGATATGTATGATTATCATGTAATGACTTCGCACAATGTCTTTGATTACAAATCCTGTCTCACATGCACGTTATATTTATCTCTCTTATACTCTGTTTCTGTTATTAGGTTTATACAAATGCAAATGACATGTTTTCTAGAGCAAATGCATTTGATCGTGCATCACGAAATGGTCCAAAGGTGTTACGAACTCTATCAAACATCTCTCTTTAATTAGTTATTGGCATATCAAATCATACCCAATTTATTTTGGACACTTTTACAGGCTTTTGTAAGTGAGTATGCTGTGACTGGAAAAGATGCTGGGACAGGAAGCCTTTTGGCAGGCCTAGCTGAAGCTGGGTTCCTTATTGGATTGGAAAAGAACAGGTTTATTGGGACATACGATTTTATTTTATATAGGGCCAAGCTTGAAATCTTGCACTTTTATCCAAACCAAATATGCAAACCATACGGAAGAAATTTTTTATATTATATGGGCACATTGTCCTTCTAACTGAGCTTTTGGCAATGCCATAATTGAGCCCAAACATGCTACATATGAGCTTAAGTAAATCAAGTCAATTGTGAGTGTTGTTAAGCAAGTTTGACCCATCTGTTAAGCAAGCTCCAGTTCAAGTTTTACACTCTTTCAAATGAATTTTCTCTAGTGTAGCCTTGTGACTTGGAGGTCACGGATTTAAATCCTGTAAATAGTCTCTGTTTGCAAGAATGGGGATGCATGCATCTAGCCTCTGGGTTGGAGTTTCATGCCTTGGGTGACCCTTTTTTATTCAATCCATTTCCTTGTGTCTTCACAGCTTTTATCTTATACTATTCCTTTAATCTCTGTCAATGCACTTACCACTTGTATCATACCCTAAATATAGCGTTTAATAGAAAGAAGGTCTAAGTGTCCTACAAGCCACAGAACATAAAATCTTTCTTTTCCATTTCTGTTATTGGTTCCTAGCATTATGAGATCTGAGTTTCTGTTCTAGTCCACTTAATAGTTAGTACTCACCATTTTCATTGTTTTCTTTCTGGTGCAGTGATGTTATCCAAATGGTCAGCTATGCTCCACTTTTTGTTAATGCGAATGATAGGAGGTAATTTCTAATGATTTACTGGGAAATTTCTATTGTCTTTTTCATCTAGCTTGCCTTTTGGTCTAGTCTTATTGTGCACTATGAAAGATTCTACCAGAAAATAGACAAATAATTGTTCATTTTATCAGATGAGATATGGTTGCAATTGTGAAAATGACGCTCATAATGGACGACTACTCCCACCCAGTGTTTTCCAATTTCATTACGATGACTGGCTTTAGAACCTTTGTTTTTAGGATCAGCCTTTCATTTAGCCAGAAATAAATTGTAGTATGATTTACTCTGTCCTTGTAGACAGATAACTCTGTTACGGAACCTTTAAGCTAAAAGGATGGTGAAGTAATTTATTGTTTAGCCAAACAATTGCTTGAAGAACAAAATCTGACCTTTTATTCCACTTAAATTTATAAACAAATTTAGAAAAAAAAAGTTCCTTCAGAGGATTTCATTTCTCTAAATATTATGTGATGAAAGATGTTTTCAATTCAAATGCTAAGATGGATAATAAATTATGTAGAATGTTCCTCGTTGATGGCCAAATTAAGATTGTATTTATTACTGTCATCAGGTGGAACCCAGATGCTATTGTGTTCAACTCCTTTCTGGCCTATGGAACTCCTAGCTATTGGGTGCAACTATTTTTCTCAGAGTCAAGTGGAGCGACACTTCTAAGTTCATCATTTCAATCGAATTCCTCCAATTCACTGGTTGCATCAGCAATAGCATTTCAAAGTTCTGTAGATCAGAAAAATTACATAAGAATAAAGGTAAGATACTATTATTTCTGTAATTCTTTTTAAAGTTGAGAATCAGTTGTATTTCCTTAGTTATAGTTAATGGCATTACGTTGAATTTGCTGAATGATATGTAATTTAAATTTTTTAGTATTCTTATCTCCCTATTTATTCCATACTTTCTGGATGTTGACATTCCTATGAAATGTCATAAGTCTAAGAACATCTCAAAGATCAAGGCATATGGTAAACCATTATAGTTTTCCGGTGTTATGTAATAAAATTGAGCATAAAAATATTTTAAACCTAAGGATTGAAGTTTCAGAATGTAATAGCTGCTCATTACATTTAGGGTGAATAAATCAGTTTCTTGCCACATTTTGCTTCCCTTGTTTTTCAAAATTTCTAATGTAAAAAATATGACTACTCTAGTTAAATTTTTCCTGAGTGTCTTCTAGTCTTACAAGTACTGGTTGCTAAATATGAAATGGATTGAAACTTCCATTGTTTCCATATAGGTGACATTATTTTATTGTGTGTTTTGATGTGTGTCCTGAAAGATTAGATGGGTCTACTTGGGAAGCAAACAATATATAGCTTCTACTCTTGTATTTGACATGAAAATGCGTTTCCAACACGCTACCAGACACACACATAGTGAGCCGATAAATAAACAATTGTCGTGTTGTAAATTATTTCATTAGTAATCACTTGACATTTTCAGGTTGTGAACTTTGGCACCAGCGCAGTGAACCTCAAAATCTCTCTTGATGGACTAGAACCAAACTCATTGCAGTTATCTGGGTCAACAAAGACTGTGCTTACATCTGGAAATGTAATGGATGAGAACTCCTTCTCACAGCCAAAGAAGGTACCTCAAGCTTCACTCTTTCCAATCTTTTCATAATTGAGTTAACTTGTTTACCCCCGTGTTTTAATCTACCCGTTTGAATACCGTTCCATTTATTATACTAATATTGTAACTCCTTGCATGAACCATAGTTACAAAAGGAAACCACTTCACAATCACTCTAACTACCTTTATCAAAACTGTGAAGTAAACTTTGTCCCTGATGTTTTGTATCAAGGAGGGTTTTTCATGGGTTTGTCATGTCAAAACATCAGCGTACAAAGATAGAAAATTGTTATGGCTATTTAGGAACCATGTTAAACCATTACCTAAGATTTGGCGTTTGTTTATATTATGGAACCAGGTGGTGCCAATCCAGAGTGGACTTCAGAATGTTGGGAAGGACCTGAATGTCACAGTCCCACCACGTTCTTTCACATCGTTTGATTTGCTGAAAGAATCCAGTAATCTGAAGATGAAAGGGAGCGATTCTTCAACGAGGTCTTATTTAACACAACGAAAAATTTGACCAAAAAGCATAAAAAAATATGAAGGGGAAATGGGAAAACAATGTTTGAATCTTATGTATCCACTTTGTCATGTAATGAAATAATGTTCCACTGTGAATAATATTTACATGGTTTCATTTAATTGTCAGTAATTTGTTCGCCAAGCTTGCAAACATTTTTCTTCTTCTGAAATTAGGTGCAGAATATTTATTAACGAAGTTTCTTCAATCTGTTCGTTAACATCTACAATTTTTGATAAAGACCATTATGTATGAATATGAATTAACTTTTCAAACAAAGTACTGCTTCCATGGGTAATGCACAATTAAGGTTGAAATGTGGCAGCAAAGGTAATAATGAGCAAAGGAAGCACCCCTTTAGTTCAATGTAAAACAATTGAGTGTTTTCTTCTTCTTTTTCATAAACCCTAATATTAAGTGTGCCTGGATGTAAACAAATATATTTGATGTTTTAATTAAGGGAGACTTGATCTTTAGATCCACAAATGTGTTTCTATACTATAATTCAAGTTTATATTTTTAATATTTTATTGGCTATAGTGTTTGTATTAGTTTTCTCAAAGATTTTAGTTCCTCTTGATAAAATTTCAATTAAAAAAAAAAACACGTGATATTTGATGCAATGATAAATTTAAAAGGTAATAAGATATGGAAGTTTTGATTAATCTTATAATTAAAATAAATTAAAATAAAGTATTTGAAAATAATTTCTATCTCTTATCATTATTTTTTATTTTAAGAAAATATTTACATATTATGATAAATACAATTAAGTTTATATATATATATATATATATATATATATATATATATATATATATAAATCAGTTTGAAATAAAATAATAAAAGTGTCTGTAATAAAAAAATAAAAGCGAAATATGAATTCTAATTTTCAGAATCATTTATTTATTTAAGAATATTTAAAATCTAACTGTTTATATATATATATATATATATATATATATATATATATATATATTAAAGGAAAAAAAACTGTTATACCAAATTAAAATTTATGATAATTCAATAAAGTGGATAGAGCTGAAAATTATATGTTTAAATTGTGTAATTATCTCATCATCCAATTTTGTTTGAATAGTTAAAAAAAATGTTAAAAGAAAAAGAATAAATATTTTTTATCTATAAATATAATTTAATTTACTTTTTTTTTCTTTTTTCACCATTTATAGACCCAACTCATTTTAGGGTTTTGGTGTCCTAATTTTACCTGAATTTTGACTTTAAAATTGAGACGAAGAGTGAGAAATGAGAGAAGCTGCAGAGGTCAAATGGGAGGAGAGAATTAAAACCATTGAGGTCCTAATTTTAGGGTTATTTTTTTCATTTCTCCCTTACACCCGTATGCTCCCCTCTCCCTTTCATTTCTCTCTTCGTTGAGGTATCTGTCGCAATTGGGTGACAACGGAGTAACGGAAAAAATATAGAATTAAATGAAAGAATACAAATGGAAAACGAAAAAAGTAAATGGCTTGTGGGAGAGGAGGGAGTGGGTGCGAGCTGGCGCAGTGAGGGAGCAAATGGAAATAGGAGCTTGCAAAGGAGAAATGACAAAAAAAGACTTGAGAAAGAAAGAAAGAGAAGAGATAGATAACCCAAATGTTCTACTTTATTCCTCCCACTTGCCTGGTAGGCTTCTTCCTCATTTCTTACTAATCGTCTCAATTTTAAAGCCAAAATTAAGATAAAATAAGGGAACCAACATCCCAAAGTGGGTTGCACCTAAAAAAAAGTAAAATGATCGCACTTCTCTCTTTCCTATAAAAGCAAAATGAAAAAGCACAAAAGACTCAAAAAAGAAAGAGAGGAGAAAGATAACTCAATGATCGTACTTCTCTCTTTCCTTGGGAGCTCCCCTCATTTCTCATTATTCTTCTTAATTTCAAAGCCAAAATTAATATAAAATTAAGGCACCAAAACCTCAAAGTGGGTTAGGCCAAAAAAGTGAAAAAAGAAAAAAGAAAGTAAATTAAATTATATTTAGAGATAAAAAATATTTATTCTTTTCTCTATTTTTTTTTTATATTTTAAAGTAAATACTACTCTTTATTTTTCTATCAACATTTTTAATTATTTAGATGAAGTTGGTATATACCATTAGACTCTTCTTTTTTAAATCTCCATACTTTCTTCCTACAACTCCTTAAGTCATATAAAATAACCAAAATATCTTTTTGTTAATTTTTTTTTTTTTAAATCCTGAAAAGCTTTTTCACTTTCGTGCTCTTCTACACCTCTATATCTCCTCCATCTTTATTTTGCTACCCTTCCACCTCCATTGAATATCATTTTCAATAGAAATTGTTAATGTTTTATACTTAGAATATTTATCTAAATGTCCATAAAAAATGGATTAAAAATACATAAGAATATGTAAGAGTGTTAAAATAGGCTTAGTCTGATTGATCGATCCGAAAACTTCGAAAAATAGGTTAAACTAGTCCAAAAAATTTATAACCTAAATTGGATCAGACCTATTTTGGCTGAGTCTATTTAAGTCATGATTTATATAGACAAAAGTCAGGCTAACCCATAAGCTTATGGGCTGACCCGTTTTATAGAATAATAATTTTTTTAAAATAAAATAAAAAATAAAAGTAATATTATTTTATGAAAAAATATATGTATTATAAATTAATTTGAGAGTGATTCACTTATTCTAAGAGTAAATATCAAAATAAATCTCTAATAATCACTTATTTCAAATCTAATAATTAAGATTAATCACTATTTTAAAGTAATAAATTACTAAAAATAAATAATGATAATAAAAAATAAATTTTAATTCTTATTTTGAGATGAAATAGATGCATTATCTTATAATTTATATATTAAATGATTAAATCTTAAATAAATACTAAATTTTTAAATTTTATTAATATTTTAAAAAAAATGTTAATCGGGCCAAAATTGGTCTATTAGCCCGTCGGTCCAACATAAAGTCAGACTAAACTAAAAATTTTGATCCATTTTAGGACTATCAAATTTTTTTAATTAGAGCTAGGTCAGTCGACTTGATAGCTCTATTTGTACTATTCAATTCATAATGCATTTTTGGACCCGAAAGTGAGTTTCATAACTACTAATTTAGAATGCATTTCCTGAATACTCAATCTGCAAATGCATTATGGATTAGTTATTCTGGAATTTATTTTTGAATAAGGTGTTTTAAAAATAAATTTCGGATTGAGTATTCAAGAAATAAGTTCTCGAACAACCGATCCAAAATATATTTTTAAAACCACCAATCCGAGATATATTTCTAGAATTGTCAATCTAAAATATATTTTCAGATTATCCAATCCAGAAATGCATTCTAGATTAGTTATTCTTAAACTAATTTCTAAATTAGGTCTTCTAAATATGCATTTGGATTGACTATTTTGAAAATAAGTTCCAAAAATGTCAATTGAGAATATATTTCTGAAATATCCTATCTAAAATATATTTCTTAAATATCCTATAAAAAAAAGATAAATGTAATGATAAAATATGATTTATTTTAATTATAAAAGTATAATAAGAAATTATGGAGGCACAGAAAGATCAACCTACAATTATTAATTAATATAAACTAAAAGAATGTTGGTTTTTTAACATTAACAAGCCTAAACGCTTATTGGATTAAAAAACACAAAATATTCGGAATTTACGTAACTAGTTAGTAATCCACTATGCACATTTTTCTCTTCAATAATTTTCAAATGATATTAAGTTATTTTTTATTATTTTAATTATTTACGATAGTTTAAAGAAAAATTTAGGAAATATAAGTCGTATTAAGTGATAATATAATTGGATATAGTTCATTAACACTTTTGTAATAGATTAAATTATTTTCAAAATTAAAGAAAAAAATAGCTTATGAAATATTGTAAAACTGTTTGTGTATTGAAGAAATAACTGTAAACTACAATTAAAAGTTAAACTTCAATTTTATATTAACAACAATAACTAAGAAAAAGTATAAAATAACTACAAACTGCAATTAAAAATTAAATGTAAATTTTGTATTAACACAATAAATAAGGAAATATTATAAAATTTAAAATAAATGATAAGATTATAAATTCACCTATTTCATTCCACAATCCACAAATATTAATGCAATTAATTATACAACCCACGATGAGTAGTAAAATTAATGATATAAAATAAATTAAAAAAAGGTAATATTTCTTTTTGAAGTTACTTTTCCTTCAAGAAAATATTCACCAATTTTTGTTATGATTAATTGTAATTAGTTTATTGCTCAACTCAAAAAGATTAATGCAATTAATATATAATTGAGTTATAGAAAAGATAAAATATATGTTTAAGAAAATATTTGGGAGCATTAATTTAATGGAATCTTAATTATTATTATTATTATTTTGATATATATGTATATTTAATATATTTAATAAATTATATATTTTTTTTATGTATCCACTTATGTTATATTTTCAAATAATCAATTCCCTTTCTATGAGATATTAAATAACTTGATATATTATTTTATACATATTTTTCTTTATCAACATATTATAAAAAGATAACTTATAATTAATTAAAAAAAATACAAAAAAACCTATCTAAAAATATAGATATAAAGCTCACTTTAATTTATACTCATATTTTTATTCATATTATTCTGTTTATGAAGTGAATGTTAGAATTCCTTGTACACACGTGTGAATATGATGAAGTATATAATTAGGTTATGTAATAGAAGATAATAAAATTAAATGATAACCTAAAAATATTCCATATATGAGACACTTAACTAGCATCATGTACAACTAGGGTTGAGCTTGCACCAACACCAATATTCAAACACAAAAATATAAATTCACAAAAATATTAGCTTATTTGAAGCTAACTTTAATTTTAACCAAACTAGTTTATTTTTTTTTATTCCCTTCTTTTTTAGAAAACAAACTAATCAGAGTTAGTAAAGTGTTAAAGAATTCTTCACAAGATTTGTTTTAATTCATAATTTTTTAAATTTCATCCCTCAAAATATTCAAAATTCAATTTTTTTATTTTTTTGTTCATGTGAAAAGTAGTGTCGGAGGTAAACAGAGACCTCTAGAAGTTATGACCTTAAAAATTTTAATTTTATTAATTTAATATATTATTTATGATGTTTCATTTTATTGATATCAGAAATAAAAAATGTGCAACAAAAATGAACAATTTTCTTAGTTAGTGTAAAGGAAAAACTTTAAAAGTACTTTCATGCTTTCAATTAATACTTATAACTATATAATTATTCATATGTGATTATTATTATTCACACTTTTAATTACTATAAACATATTTTACAAAAATATTTAATTAATATATTTGTAAACACATTTCTGCACTTTCTTGTCTGTCTTTTTAAGATTTTATATAGAAATGAAAATAAAAAAGCAATAATTTTTCATTTCAACTTCATATATTCTCAAGTATGTATTAATTAAATATTAGAGAATATAATTAATAAAAGAATAATTACATTAACATATAAATAGATATAACAATCTTTTAAATATTTGATAATTATAAAAAATGGAGAGAATACCTTATATTATAAATTAAAATTTATTGGAAACAATGAAATTTGTCGGATTCACGTCAAATTTAATGGGTTTTACTCATGATTTTGTAATTTACTATAACATGTGTTAAATTAAACTAGATGTATTAAATAATGTTTATCTAAAACCAAAACTCTTCAGACAATAATATCTTTATACATATTTTTCCTTTTATTCTTCACATAAAAAAATTATTGAATATATATATTTTTTATTTTTTTCCATTTTTATATTTTGGAATTATCCATTCACCTTCCAACAACAGAATGTTTTGAAATTATCAATTACATTTAAAATTTGTTCTATTGGAGTTCGATTTTTACTATTAACCAATATTAATTAAATATATGGAAATATTAAAACGAATTTTCTTTAAACACTTTTGTAAAAGTATTCAAAATAAGGGTTGAAGGTTTTTCTTTTTTTATTATAATTAATAGATAAGCACATATTTTCTTTTCCATTCTATACATTTTCGTTCCTTATATAAATGATCTGTTTTTTAGACAATTCATCATAGAATTTGTCATCTAAATCTTGTTAAGAATGGCGTTTTGTTCTTCCAAAACTTCATTACAAGTTATTTTGTATTCCTCAGTTTTGATTTATTTTCTTGGTTTTGAATGTTGGTGTGTTGATGCGAACTCAACCCTAGTTGTAGAAGCTGGTAAGGGGTCTCCAAGGACAATTCCTGACACTTTCCTCGGAGTATTCGTCGAGGTAACCAATCAAACTGTCACTAATTATTTTTTCTGGCAAAATATAGTTTCCCTTGTTAATAGTTTTATGTTGAAACATTTTTTTTTAATTTCCAGTTCAACACCTTATTTTTTCCCCCCAGGAATTATGCTCAATACTCATTTGTTATTTGATCATACTAAAAAAAATTATACTTGTTTTTTACGATAACATTTCCCCATTCAGTCATATTTGAATGAAAAGAGAGTCATGATTAAACTTTGTTTAAAATTATAGTTTTTATATTATATTGTGAATTAATTTTTATAGTTATATATGTTTTCCATTGACTATTATATTTGTATTGTTTAAGTACTCTTTTTTTTTCACAAGAATTTAAGTAGAAACCCAAGGTTTTTTTTTATCTAATCCAATTTATTTTATTTACTTAATTTTTAAAACTATATGTTTCTATAATAATGGATTATTTTCAAGATTTTGTGAGTACATTTTATTTATAATTATAGTTTCTGCTTATTATTAAAAATATGAATAAGTTTTAATTTAATAATAATTTATTAACATATACAAATTCAATTAATAAGTATACATTTAATTAATGTACATGTATTAGCATTATACTTATTAAATTAATAAATGTAATAATTAATATTACATAATAAAATTTTAGTATATATGCATATTTACATTTATGCAAATAATATTTAAATAAAATTAACTCATAGTATCAAACACAATTCACGAAATAACGCAAGGATATAAGTGTAATCATATGTTTTCTTTTCATTAACAGTTATTATGATTGGATGAAGAATATCATATGTTATATATATATATATATATATATATATATATATATATATATATATATATATATATATATATATATATATATATATATATATAAAGAAGAAGATAAACTCCAATTTCATTTCAAATTCCTTAAACTCACCAATTTCTTTGAACTTAATTTTCAGGAGATTAATCATGCTTGTGCTGGGGGACTGTGGGCAGAACTTGTTAGCAATAGAGGTTATTTCCTTATTTCTAAACCTTTCTTCGTCTTGTCTTTTCACTCCATACATTCAATTATTAGATGCCAATATATATATATATATATATTTTTTTTTTAATTTTGTACTACTATTATCAATTTCATTTTAGGGTTTGAAGCTGGAGGCTCGAAAATTGATCCTTGGTCAGTGATTGGAAATGAATCATCCATTTCTGTTTCAATTAACTCTACCTCATGTTTTGAGCGTAATAAAGCTGCATTAAACATGGAGGTTCATTGTGGTGATCACAACCCTTGCCCAGTTGGTGGCGTTGGTGTCTCTAACCCTGGTTATTGGGGCATGGTAACTTCATATTTCATTTATTTGTATTATGTAATTTGAAGTCAAAAGAAATTGCAAAAATATTATTATTTTAATGCATGACCTAAAACTTCTCTTTTCATGAGCAGAATATCGAGGAAGGGAAATTGTACAAGGTGGTGTATCATGTTAAATCAGAAGGAAATGTTGATTTTCAACTTTCATTCGCGGGTGTTGATGTCATAAAGGTGGCATCAAATATCACGTAAGTTGATAACTTTTTATATACTTAGAAGACGTGTACAAATTCTAAATTGTTTTTGATGTTTTAACATCAAATAATAATACTCAAGTTTTAACCCATAAAATAATTTGCTGTGATGATTCAGACAAGTTTCTGGGCAAAACCAATGGAAAAGGGTGGAGACATTGTTGAAAGCAAATGCTACTAATCACAGTTCAAGTCTTCAAATCACCACAACCACTAACGGAAGTTACATGTTAGATCAAGTCTCAGCTATGCCAATGGACACTTACATGGTTAGTAAACACGAACAAGCACACTTTATAAATCAAAGTTAGATCTTTTTCTCTTGCTGGGAATGCAATTTATTTTTTCCTTCTCATCAATCTTCTCTTGAAACAGGGTCATGGCTTCCGCAAGGATCTTTTTCAAATGGTGGCAGATTTGAAACCAAAATTTATGAGATTTCCGGGTATGTCCAAATTCTGTGTTTCCTACAATTTTTATTGGTTTTTGGGGGGAAGCACCTACATTCATTAATTGAGTAAAAATGAAAAAATTGAACTGATTTTTAAGTGAAAAGACACAAAAATATCTGTAATCTTAAAAATCCAACAAATAACACCATAACATTCAATTTATCCATGTCCATTGCATCAGGTGGCACTTTTGTTGAAGGAGAACATCTAAAAAATCAATATTGGTGGAAGGATACAGTAGGACCATGGGAGGAGAGACCTGGGCACTTCAATGATATTTGGAACTATTGGAGTGAAGATGGAATTGGTTATTTTGAGTATCTCCAAGTGAGTGTATTATTCTTCTCTTACAACTATCATTAAATTTTCCCTACTTTAGTTGAATAAATATAATGGTTAATATTTCTTGAGCAGCTAGCAGAGGACCTTGGTGCATTGCCCATATGGGTGTTCAACGCTGGTATGAATATATGTTCTTCTTGCCTTAGCTCAAATCCATTCTCAACAACGCAGATGATATTTTATTTTATCTTTGTTTTCTCACTGATTCAATGTCTCGTTTTAGGTATCAGCCGTTATGAACAAATTAAAACTTCAAACCTAGCACCTTATGTGCAAGTATAATTTTCTTCCCATACACTTTTCTTCTTGGTATTCATGAAACCATTTATATTTATATTATTTACTCTTGTTTTGAAATCTCTGCATTAAAAGGATGCTCTAGATGGCATTGAATTTGCAAGAGGCTCTTCTAAATCAAAGTGGGGTTCTCTTAGAGCTAGATTGGGACATCCTAACCCATTTGATTTGAGATACGTTGCCGTTGGAAACGAAGATTGTGAATTTTCAAATTATCAAGGTATGCAATTTTATTCCAAAAAAAACTTGTTTACATGACTCGTTTGATATTTTCACGATTCTATCGATCCATTTTGATTGATTTAATTACTTACATTTTTGTACTTTATTTTTTATTTTTTGCAGCAAATTACGTTACGTTCCATGATGCTATAAGACACGCCTACCCAGATATCAAAATCATCTCAAATTGTGATGCTTCAAACACCCCATTAAACCATTCAGCCGATTTGTTCGATTTTCATGTAATCATAGCGCTCTGATATATTACTGCTTCAACTTTCATTTTTTGCTTCAACTTATTATCATTCTGAATGTTTTATTTTCATTAGATTTATACAAACTCCGGTGACCTGTTTTCCAAGTCTACTCAGTTCGAGAAAACATCGCGATCTGGTCCAAAGGTTTGATTGATTTCAAGTTTTGAGGAACATTATCCAATTTATTGTTATGGATTGTTAATTTATGCGTGGTTTGATATATGAATAACGGTCAATGTATATGATTCTACAGGCTTTTGTGAGTGAGTATGCTGTGTGGAGAGAAGATGCTGCAAATGGAAGTCTTGTGGCTGCTGTGGCTGAAGCTGCATTTCTTATTGGATTGGAAAAGAACAGGTTTGCTATACTTTTTGTTTTTAATGTAAGTTTTTTCCTTTAACCACAAACTTTTCATTTCTTATATTTGTTTTTCTGATGCAGTGATGTTGTCGACATGGTTTCCTATGCACCGCTTTTCTCAAATATAAACGACAGGAAGTAATTTTCTACCATTTAACATGTTTTTTGACCTTCCAAGCACCCATACTTTGAAGATTTAGAGTTAAAATATTATTTGTAAATTCCATGATGCCATATATAACACGATGTTGTGTAAATGTGTGTCATTACAGATGGATTCCCGATGCAATTGTGTTCAACTCTTATCAGCTCTATGGAACTCCTAGCTATTGGGTGCAGAAGCTTTTTATTGAGTCCAGTGGTGCAACGTATCTTAATTCATCACTCCTTACAACTTCTTCTTCTAATAAACTAATTGCATCTGGAATTAGTTGGCAAAATTCTACAGATAAGAAAAATTACCTAAGAATAAAGGTAAGAGGTGCCCTTTTCATCCATTGATGTCCTTGATTCCTCTTCCAGGCCAATTCGTGTTTGGTGTTAGTGGCAATAGGAGTTATTGATTTTGATTTGCGCAGGTAGTAAACTTTGGAGCAGCCACAGAGGAACTTAACATACTCATAGATGGGTTCCCAAAAGAGCAGAAGTTTGGTTTTACAAAGACAGTGCTTACATCCACCAACAAAATGGATGAGAATTCCTTCTCAGAGCCTACGAAGGTACAATTTGGTTCATTTAAAGTTGTTTAAAGTTTATCTATAACATGAACTCTTGTAATTTTTCTACATTTTCTTTTTCCCATTTCAAATGCAGGTGGTGCCACAAACAAGTTGGGTAGAGAATGTTTCCAAGGAGATAAATGCAACTCTCTCTCCCTATTCGGTGACATCATTTGATTTGTTAATTTATTAGAAGACAGTGTCCATTTTTGTATTGTCGACAATTGTAATATATGGCATGTTGCTTGCCCTAGCTTAAGAGGAATATGCTATTTCCATTTAAATTTTATCATATGCCTCTTTATGTAATTTTTCTCTATATTTCTCCTTATTACATTACTCATGTCATTTTTTTCTCATATTAGACATGCATATCATGTGAAGAATGTGGAGTTAATATTATTCCCAGTTTTTATAAATACAGCACAAGACATCACAATATTTTCTTTCTTTTTCTTATACACATTAATATTAGTTAAAACATTGTAAATGTTTCTTAGGATTATATGCACTCCACAAATTCAAATTCACTTTAAACATATGACAATATCACTCTCAACTATATACACAAATTCAACATCTTTACTATTTAATTTATCTATATTTTAATCAAAGAGTTATAAGAAAATCTTATTACACTTTTATTTTTGTGATCAAATTTATGTTATGAAGTTCTACATGTCTTACAACTTTAATATTTTATCTCGTTAATATTTATATAAAAAATACTTTCTTGACAACCCAAACATTTATTTTACAATTAATTTTATACTAATTTAATAATATTATTTAATATTTTATTAATCTTTTATTAATATTATATATATATTTTTGGGTTGGTTGTGGATGACCGGTTGTAAAAAATCACCCCTCTAGGAAGTAATGATCGGGTAAAATGGAAATAAAATTTAGAAACTTTTTAAAAAGTTTTTATAACTTATATAAATACATTTTATATAATTTATCATAATTTAAAAAAAAAACAATTTATTGACACAAATTTTTTAATATAATCTATAATTATGGGATTAAATAGAAATTTAAACAATCATTTTTTGAACTAAAAGTTTATAAAAGACTCATGAAAATATATCATTGCTGTAATTAATTTATGAAAAAACTATTACAAGATTACAAATTTACATTTAAGAAAAAAATAACAGTGACTTCTCTTTTCAAAGTGAAGATCCACTTGATTTTCTTAATAATAATAATAATAATAATAATAATAATAATAATAATAATAATAATAATAATAATAATAATAATAATAATAATATCTTATAAATATCTATCCATTCTACCATTTTCTTTCAAATTTTCTCTTTTCTCTCCCTTGTGAGGAGCTTCTGTACTGATTTTTTTTTATTATTAGTAAAATATTATTTTTTTTGTTTCTTAAATTTATTTTATTTTTATGATTTAATTTATTTCTAGTAATATATTCACCAGTTTAATATAACCAGATATTTAAAGTTATTTGTTTCAATTCATATTTTCTCCTTTTTATTTTGCATTATGTTACGTAAAATATTTAACAAAAGTGTTCTTTTTCATAATTTTAGTTAAAGGAAAAAAAAGGGAAAGTAAATCAATATAATATTATATATATATATATATATATATATATATATATATATATATATATATATATATATATATATATATATATATATACGTGTAGTCACTAGGCCTAGTTACTTGAAACAATATGAATGGGTCGTTGTTGAACTTAAAAACACAAGTTTATTCTTAATAGTTTGAATAAAACTTTTAATTTTTTTAAATAAATAAATAAATAAAAATTAATTAAATTGATAAACACGTTGGTTTATCTCAATTAAGGTCTAATCTCTTTTAATGACACTTAAATAATTTTATTATAATAAACAAGATCGTATTTTACTTCAATTTTGACAATTGATAAGTACAACAACAAGTTGTTTTAACTGTCAACTTAATCTCTTAGTAATATAATCACTAAAATAACTCTTAAAAATAGATAAATAATAAGAACTTATAATGGATATTTTATGGGAGATATAATAATAAGTATTTTGTTTTAAATTTCTGAATGACTTTTTTAAGTCAATTATTTATTAGTTCTGATTAAACTAATAAATAATTACTTAAAAAAATACAATAATATTTTTAAAATTTAGAGAAATATTGAACTATGTGGGGTCTTATCACAAAATTCAAAATTTACTTTAGATTAGGGTGATATCTAATATAAATTTTGAATTTTAGGTCTAGTCCAACAACATAAAAAAGTTCTTATATTCCCTCTAACATTTGACCTTCCTAGTGAAAATAGATTAGAACAAGTGGATAACAGTTTCTTTTTTCACCTCTATCAATATCATCACACAAGAACGATATAGAAGTGGTGAAAAAAGAAAAAAGAGGGATGATGTTTTTTTTGCTTTTGACATAACGGGTCTCGGCGGGAGGCCCGCACAATGGGCTACTAGCTCAGTGGTAGAGCGTGTCCTTAATAATTGCTCATTTTTGCTTTTGACATAACGGGTCTCGGCGGGAGGCCTGCACAATGGGCTACTAGCTCAGTGGTAGAGTGTGCCCTTAATAATTGCTTGTTGTTCCTGGACTGTGAGGGCTCTCAGCCACATGGATAGTTTAATATGTTCATCGGCGCCTAATTCTGAGATGTGGATCATCCAAAGCATATTAACATGACATATTTCTCTTATTAGAACCGAGATTTGAAATTAAATGGATCCTCAGGAGAATAGATACACGAGTTTTTTTTTTCTTCAAACAATGACCAAAGTGCCTGCAAGGGCACCTTTGAGAGTGTTTTCCAATCATGGTGAGCAGCAACACCATCATCATTATGACTCTTTCATGTTTCTAAATGTTTTTCCTCTATTGAATTTGAGTATTTCGACATCTATTGTGTGATTGGAGTTAGTGCATTATGTCTCTAATTTTTATTGAAATTAAAACTATGATTGTTTATAAGAATCTCAATAACGATAATGCATAAATGTCTCAATTAGATTATTGTTGTTTCATGATAATTAGGAGGACTTTCTTTTAATTACATAAGTAACTAAGAACTTAGTAAATTCTATTTTTTTAATGATTAAAAAAATTATAAAGACTAAAACTAAATTTTATTAATTAAAAAGAAAATATATTTAAACCTTTTTCTCCTAAAAATATATGTGTAAACCCTAGAAATGATATTGCAAATTAAGTATTATGGGTAATTATAGGTTTAGATTATTTTACTTATAATGAATGTTATTGATTGGATGAACATGAAGAATAAACACTACAAGAAAAAACACATTTAGCCACCGAAATTAGCGACCGAATTTTTTCGGTCGCAATTAGCGACCGATTTAATTTTAGTCGCATTTAGAGACCGATTTAGCGACCACTTTAATTCGGTCGCAATTAGCGACCGATTTAGCGACCAAAATATGATTTAGTTTTCACTCCTTTATTTAGCGACCGAAATAGCGACCACTTTTTTGTGCGTCACAAATTTTCGATCGCTAAATCAATGGCTATTTCATACATAAATAAAAAAATCATTTAGCGACCGATTTAGCGACGAAATTACACATTGAAATAGCGACCGAATTAAAATCGGTCGCTAATGAGAAAATAATACATAATCTGATTTTTGCAATATCGCTCAAGCGAAAATGACGTCGCTCGAGCGACACCACCTGCTAATTCAAAAATTAAGTTTAAAGATCTGTTCTTGAATCACAAAGCAATCAATCAAAATAAGCGCAGCAACTGAATTTAAATGAGAGAAAGGTTAAGGAAGATATCACCGGTATTTTATACTCGGATCACCCAATACCAGTTCTTGATAACCTCCACAACCAACTTCCAGACTGCAGAGAAACTTGTGCAACACAATACAAAAGAATGAAAAAGAATTTACAAAGAAGAAACTAAAAAGCTCAAACCAGTTTATCCAAATCTGCTGAGAGTTTCTTCTTCACAAGAATGCAAGTTGCCTCAAGAAAGATTTTCAAAAGAACTTCTAAAAGCGTTGCGAATCTTTCTTGAAAAAGGATGTTACAGAGTTACTTGAATGATTGCTTAGGATGTGTGAAAACTGATGTTTAAAAAGTTCAAGCAAAACTGTTTTTAAAGAGAAATTTCAAAAACTGCTGCATTAATTAATCTGTTGAAAGTTTGTTTTAATCTGTTGAAATAGCCGTTTCAATCTGTTAAAAGTCCTTTCAATCCATTTATGCGTTCTTGATTCTTTAACAGAATTGTTTTAGCCGATACTTGCAACGGTTATATCAATTAAAACACTTTACAAAACTTTTCTAAGTTTGATTCAATCGATTGTTTCGTGTTTTAATCGATTGATATATCTGCAAAACTTTCTTATAAAACTTTTCAAGTTATTTTAACTGATAAAAAGAAGTTTTAATCGATTAAAACTCGTACAAAATTTTTCCAAGTTGTTTTAATCGGTTGAAACGCGTTTTAATCGATTTAAACTCTGTACAAAAATTTTTAAAGTTATTTTAATCGATTGTAATGCGTTTTAATCGATTGAAACTCTGCACAAAATTTTTCCAAGTTGTTTTAATCGATTGAAATGCGTTTTAATCGATTGAAACAGATCTGATCGGTCATAACTCAATTTGATCGATCATAACCGCTATCTGAAGTGTATGTTAGATAGCGGTTCCACCTTAACCGCTATCTAAAGTGTATGTTAGATAGCGGTTAAGGTTTAACCGCTATTATAAGTAGTTTTTAATAGCGGTTCCAAGTGGAACCGCTATCATATACAACAAGATTTTGAGTTTCTGATCGATCATATTTTCAAAATGATCGATCATATCTGCTAATTTTTTCAAAGAATTAATTATAATCGATTACTTTTGTAAATTATTGGTTAGAATTGATTAGTTTTTCAAATAATAGATTAGAATTGATTAATTTCTGAAATATATATTCAAAAATTATAATTAAAAATATAGATTATTTAAGAATATTAACTATTGTCAAGATAAAGTTGAACATGGGAGGAGATGAGGATGATAATATAATGATAGAAGTTACAAAAATGTAGAATTGAGAAGTTTGAAACAAAAAAACTAAGCAAATAGAGATTTGATTACAATAATACAATATAATTAAGAAGATCAAGTGTAATGTTATTGATGCTAATTTTAACAATAATAC